CACACACACACACACACACACACACACACACACACACACACACACACACACACGCGTGCGCACGCACACACACACACACACACACACACGCCCGCGCCCACACATCAAATTGATTGATTGATTGATTGATTGATTGACTGATTGATTGCGATTGGTTCGTTGATTGATTGATTGATTGATTGTGTGTGCGTGTGTGTGTGTGTGGACCAGTGTTTTTCCACTGGCCCAACAAACTAAAAATAATAATAATAATTTTTCATCAGCGTTTTTTTTTTTTTTTTTTTCCGATGTTCTTTATTTATTTTTTTTCCTTCCTTAAGATGTTACCAAAAAAAATTAAAAATCACAGGCCTGTAGAGTTTTTTTTCTATCTACACGCCCATATTTTTTAGTTTTTTGTTTGCCCATTTTTAGGCCCCGAAAACATTGTCGGGGGTTCTTGCCCGCACTCAGCCGCGGGGGGTCGGTCTGCGTGGTCAGGATCCGGACCGCATGTGGTAAAAAGGCCCGCGGTCATGACCGCGGGTGATACATGATATCACCACAATGTGGTGGAAAATTCCGCAAACAAACAATGCATGCTCATAATACAAACATAAAAAAAAAAAAGGCAGAAATATAACGAAAAGAAGAAAACTCAAAAGCACTATAGACCCCTAAAGCACTATGAATCAGGGAAATATGGCACAGTTTTGGTGAAATCTTCGCCGAAATGACACCACCCATTAACCACTTACCACTAGTTCCATCAGACCACTTAAAAAAAATAAAAATAAAAAAAAGGCAGATGGCTTGGCCCGCTTGGGTTCCTTACTCTGAGCCAAGGCATACTCATGGTGGGACCAAAAAAAAAAAAAATAAAAAAAAAAAATCATGGTGGGCCGTCCTTAGATGATGTATCTGACTGTATGCACAGCCAAAAAAGGCCCAAAGTCAGACAGCAAACTAATGGGAGTATGCCTGAAAGGGGCAAGTTCCGCTGAACTAGGGGCAAGGAGATAATAAAGAAAGAAAAAAAAAGGCAATTTCAGTCCAAAATTTCAAATGGATCCCTTGGCCCTCCTTCCCCACCCCCTCTTTCCTGTCTCACACCACAGCCCGCCCCTGTGGTAGTTATGATACCTGTGTCTCTGTCACAGCCGTGGTACTTTCATTGCCTTTCGGCTGTTTTTGTTGCCCACGCGTGTTTTTTATGCCGATTTTAAATTCTGCTCTGACACCACCGTACTTGCCCTTCTGTTTTCTTGGCTTTTTTTCCCTGTTTTTTTTTTTTTCGCCACTGACTGGACCAGAGTCAATCCTTTCGGACCAAACATTATTTAGATCACTGGCCAGCAATCTATGGGCCTGGCTCCACTGCTCTCCAAATGTGCAAAATGACTATGAATCTTCTGCTAGAACATGTCCTTTTCAAACATAAACTCCACGGATGGGTAAAAAAGAAGCCTTTGGGCAAACTGCGGCAGTCTATGAAACTGTTTGAGCGCGCTTAAGCACACGCTTAAAGACCCCCAGTGCGCGCTTAAAAGCGCTCAATCGGTTTTCGGGCGCGCACGCACACCAAAACATGAGTGCGCGCACCTGGCGGGGGGCCGAATGTGGAGGGGAACACATGGGGGTGTTTGCACTGAATTTTTTTTTTTGGGGGAGGGGTTGAGTGGGCGGTGGAGGGGGTCCAAGAGTTGTTTTGGGGGTTTGGTGGGTGGGGGAGGTGGTGGCTCTCTCTCTCTCTCTGTCTCTCTCTCTGTCTCTCTCTCTGTCTCTCTCTGTCTCTCTCTCTGTCTCTCTCTCTCTCTCTCTATATATATATATATATTTGTGACGTGTGTGTGTGTGCGTGTGTGCGTGTGTGTGTGTGTGTGTGTGTGTGCCTGTGCGTGTTGGGGTTGGGGGTGTCTGTGGCTTTTTTTTCTCGGTTTCATAGGTCTCCGAAAGATCTACAAGCCTCTATTTTTTATTTTATTTTTTGGTTATTGTTTGTCTGCAAAAACATCCCTGTGAAAAAAAAAGAAAAACCCACCCATTTCATTATGTTTTTTTTTTTTGTTTTTCCTTGTATGTTTTTGATTTTTTTAAAATATAGCAAATCTTCAAAAAATAAAATAAAAAGCATAGGGTTGTAGATCTCAAAACAATCAACAATATTTGTTGTCCTCTTCTCCCTCTCTGCCTACGGTTTACCGGGCAGTTCTATTTGGCGATATATATATATATATATCGTCAAATAGAACTGCCCGGTAAACCGTAGGCAGAGAGGGAGAAGAGGACAACAAACGAGGGGCTGTGACAAACTGTTTCGTCGGAGTTTCACCGACTCATCAGGAGGCTGAACC